TGTCTGGAGGCCCCGGGAGAGCGAGGCTGTGCGCAGAGCCCGGCTGCGCGGTTGGGACCAGGGCACATCGGAAGCTTCCCTCCATCCCTGACATCAGAGTTCCTTTCTCTCTTGGAACCAAAATGGCTCTGGTCACTGGGGTGCTGGACCCCCTGTGGACTGGACCCCAGAAGCTGGTGGGGCCGCTCCCAGTGGTCTGGGTGGGAGTGAGTGGAGGAAGCCTGGGAGGTCGGCGAGCGCGTGTTGTCAGAAAACGAGAGAAATGCACAGCGACTGAAGTCACGGAGAACAGGCCCAAACAAAGCCAGTCACGGTGTCAAAACACTGCAGTTCACGACACAACACTCACCCGTGTGTGCACAGAGCCAGGGGTGGCACCGTGTACAACAGCATGGACTTAGCCTGTGAGCAGGGCGCCCGCCCGTCACAGCCGCCACCCCTCTCCCTGCCGGTCACGGACCTGTGGGGTGGCCGTGACCGTCCTCCTCCTCTCCTCACTGGTCCCCACACGGGGCAGACGGGGGGGGGGCATTGGGGGAGCAGAAAAGGCCTCAGAGGAGAGGCTGTCTGCAGCTCGGGAGGAGCCCAGAAGGCTGCCCCTGCCCCGTCCTCTGGGAGCCTCGCCTCCCACTGAGCCACGCAGTGCACAGCGCGTGGGGGTGAGCCCAGCGTGGGGAGGGGGCTGAGCCCTGGCCTGGGGAGGAGAGAGCCCAGAACCAGGTGCTGGAGAGAGGAGACGGCACATCGGGGCCCCAGGGGGCTGACAGGGCAAAAGTGCCACCGCCCAGGCTGGAAGGAGGGGCCCACATGTGTGTGCAGTGTACGTGTGTGCGTGTGTGTGCAGTGTGCGTGTGTGCAGTGCGTGCGTGTGTGTCCGTGCTGCGGCCCACTGAAGGGTGGGTGTGCGGTGGGGCTACTGGGGAGTCCAGGCCGCCGGGGTGGCTGACAGTTTGGCAAACCCAGGCAGGAGAGAGGGGGAGGGGCTGGGACAGATTCCACAGCGAAATCAAAGCGAGAGACAACTTGTACCGGAAACTTAGACAGGTACCAGTGGGACCAAGTGGGCGGGGTCAGGAGGGGAGAGTGGAATTGGGGCCGGTGTTTCTGTTTTACCAGAAAGTCCCGGAGGCAGGGTCCGGCCCGAGTCCATGAGGCCAGGCCAGTGCGGGAGAG